AACCACGCTGTACCAAAAACCTGTGCGCATTAATAAATGCTTGTGTGTAAGGGTTGTGCGCCACCCGGTCAATCTTCTCAGTAGAAATCGAGGTCTTGGGTCATGTTTATGCAGTTTTTTCACGCGGGTATCCATATCGCATTCGTTAAAGTTAACTTGGGCATACCTCGAGCGGCCGACGGTAGGAGGTAGTAGCGATCCCATGCGGTAGCACACTGACCCTTGTGCACGGAAGCTGTAAACATCATTCCGTGTCACGCTTTCGTCGACGTTGATCGGCCGAGACCGCGAAGATCTCATGGCGTAAACGCGAATATGTTGTAGTAGGGTCGGATCGAACGCATGAAGGTCCGGTTCTCGAAAAGTGTTAGAAGGGCAGCAGGAGCTGTTCGCGGAGATGGAACGAACACTTGTCCGCTACGACAGCAGCACCCGTATGTCTCTTTGGGAAACTTCCAAGCGTTGCAGTAGTGACAAACCCTCTCGTTCTCCCGGTTGTCGTCCGAGAGCGTGTAAAGTTGTGATGGCCTCGGAAATACTGGAAGGACAAAATCTTCGTGGTACGCAATGCCCTTCTATTACTGCCGAGACTGCCAGCAAAACCGATCTTGTTCCTTTCGTTGCCCCCTTTGTTCATCCTTCATGTCTTCCCTTTCGAGAGCTGTCCGCGACTGCGTCTTGGTCACGCTCTGGTAGATACTGCTCATCCATCATGCCCCCTCAGTGGTCTCTTCATGCTGTAGAATTTAGCTCGCGCTCTGGATGACGCTGCTCATCCAATATGCCTTTCCGGCGAGCTTCGTGCTCCACTGCATCGCTAATCCTCGCATTTAGCTTGTCCTCTTCTGGTCTCGTGGCTATGGTTTGCGACTCTCGACCGCATTCTTGATGAACTTCGAGGTCTTCTGACGCCATTCGACCGCGTCGTACCCGTGCTTGTTCGGCATCGCGTCCGCGATATCAAATAACCTGGGGTTCCGATCTGTTAGCTCCACGTATTCGTCCTCTCTCCGCGTATTTTTCTCGTGCCCGTTGATTTTGTGAGCTCGTCATGGTAGCTCGCCTGACACGGGCTCTTTCCGAATCACTCGAACGTTTAGCTGCTGCGATCGCTGCGGCCGCAGGTCCAGATATTCCAGTCGGATATTCGTGGGAATAGCGCTGCCCTTCGATACGCGTCTCCTTCTCGAATCGTCGCTGATGCACCGCGGGGTCATTTTTTTCTGTCATCTCTACACGCTCTATCGCCGGGCTATCATCTGCTCGGATTCATCTGTGGTAGGACTTTAGCTAACTCAGGTAGCTCCTATTCTTGGATTGCCTTGTGATAGCGCTCATCCGCTTTACGCAGCTTTTGTCTACGGAGCAACCTTTCTTTTTTCGGTTTCAGTTGAGTTGGTGAAGTGTTCTCGTACACGCTTATCTGTTTCATCACGGGTAATTCTAATCATTAGACACAGTTAGTCAAACTAATTCTGCACCAATGCCCGCTACACAGTTGCTGCGAAAAAAATTCTTTTCCACGGGGCCCTTGCCATGTTGTCGGTTTTTGAACTGGAGTGTAGCCTGATTCAGATTTAGCATAACTACATTGGCGGTTAGGCCCGAAATACTAAGTGGACTGGGAATTATTCTACAGCTAATTCATAAATATAAGCGCTAAAACATGGACCTATAGCTAAAGCAACGTGGGACACGGATAGAACCCCGAACTTTCTTTTTTCAATCCAAATCTAGAAGTCGTCTGTGAATGGCACACACCACTGTCATTTCCATCCCGGTTCCTCGGATTACAAACAACATAAGGGTAACGTCACTCCAGCCAGCTTGTTGGCCCAGTCAACTTTTGCTTAGCCCTCCCCTTGGCCGACGTGCTACAATCCTCAGCTCACGTTCCAAATTACATTGCACCGCTGGTGACCAAGCAGCTGCTCATGATAACCCAGACGCCGTTTTGTGCTGTTGCCTCTTGGATACGTCAAAGCTGTTGCCTTAACCCTGTTGAACGGTTGCTCAGGTATATTCGATACCATCCAACCCCTTCGATTATGTTAGTAGCATGCGCATGGTGTCGGAGAACAACGAAGCTCTTCACGGGACTCACACAGCTTCGAAAAATGCTCTAAAATCGTCTATTCAGATACTATGCTATTATGGTGTACAGGCGCGGGGCTCACGTCTGCTCTTAAAGTGTCTTTTGTTTTGATCTCTTGTTCTTGATCTGTTCTCACTTGGCATTGGGCTCCTTGCTCTTGTGAAACCGACTGCTGCATTCCTTTCTGTCCCACCAGAAGTGCCCTCGCAAAGTTTGTTATGATGAGGGACCTCACGTTTTAAGAGCACCTCTGCACAGCGGAATTTAAACGACTCTTTTGCATGTGGGTGCAACTTCGTTTTGGCTAATTGGCAGCACGCGCCACTCACATTTGGAGCGTGGACACTCGCGGTGGGTCTAGGTCCCGTAGGCGCATGCATGGTAGTAGACGCTCTCAGTCACACCTACCCCAACCTGATTGCTATCGCAACCATTTTCCATACCACTTTGGAGTCATGGGGCAAGACTCAGACTGTATCCTGGGAGATCTTGCTTGGATATAAAGTAAGGAAAGGAGCCGAACGCCTGTGCAAACATGCATATACATCTAAAACTACCCTACTGCTATTATACAACCAGCGCACCTTATCTCGCTGCCCCGTCGCTCGGAAATCCATTTTTGTGTTTTAAATGAAGAATGAGTCGGGAAAGGTTGACCAATCACGGCGCGAGCTAATTTTGTCCGCTTTTTGACAATAATTGTAATTTGGGCATAGGTAGGCCAAGTAAAAAAAAGGCGCGGTCGATAAGATGGGTGGAAACTGTATTTGAAAAGCCGAGTGTAACCATGCAAAAAGGTATACGACAAGGTAGGAAAAAAACGGGAAGAGAGGAAAACGACTGATTGACAAACAGTCTACAAGTTTAGGTGGCGGGAAATCTGCAACTTTTCTCAACCAGTCTGAAAATGTCCGGCGATCTTAATCATTTGACAAAACAAAAATAAGGTGTTAAGGCTACGGAAATGGGGACCCGGGTCCATGGGCCCACAGTTCTCAGATTAGTCGGGGACATGATTTTGCGCCTAGCTACATTAGTTTGAACAGTATTACCGTTTAAAAACTAATTCTCGAGTACCGTATTATTTACGAGGCGGGTCTACTATATTAGTAGTACATTATTACTACTTATAATTCTGAGTATAAATATTGTCGACCACCTACAGATCTAGACATTGATACTTTATCACTACTGGCACGCTCTTAAAGCACGTGTCATTCCACAACTTTACTGGCGTCAATTGTGCCAAGACGCCGACACTATGGCACCTGAGCTGAACTCTCTACAGCATGGACTCGAGCTGACGCGATCTTTGCAACAGCACACGAAGTTGGTCGCGACTGGAAGCTTCACCAACAATGCCGAGCATCTTGTAATATTTATAGTTCTTTTCTAAGAAACAAAGTCTTCTAAAGGAATTTGAGCTGACCTATCGGCCGTTGCAGCTTGTAATTGCAGGTGTGCACGTGTCAGCGCGCACTACAGATGCCAGTCGAAAGCGGTCAAGCTGTGGCGACACCTGCAGAAGAAAATATTTTCTGTGACCGTCATGCTCCTTATCTAATTCACACCCGGTGTGGAGATTTCAAGCTTGTAGTCTACGTATGGACAAGAACTAGATTGACGTGGGACATCATTTTGGAACATGCGATCGTAGACCTACCAAAACTTCGGCGCTAAGAAGACTAAGGCTCCTACACAAATTGTTTTTAGCTGTGTACGCAGTATAAAGATTACTGAAGAACAGTAGCGAGAGAGTTGGGCTGGTAGTGTTGTGGCAAAAGCTAGACAACAACACTTTGCTAATTAAAATAGCAATAGTTAGATAGATGGATCCTGATGGCGTTGTCGTCACCACGTATTAATATATTTAAATATGGATTAATTCTTAGTGTTATCTTTAGCTTCCACGAAGTTGCAGTAAACACATTTACTGCAACTTCGTGGAAGTTAAAGATTACACTAAGAATTGCAGTAAATGTTTACTGCAACTTTGGGCCTTGTTGTGGGAGCACCCTATATAAACAATGAATGCACATATCTCCTCTGAAGTATACTTATATTGGCTAAGAGCGGGTGATCCTAACTCAGCAACAAAATCACTGTACATACCTAGCGCTATTACCCGTACATATAAACTGTGAAAAAATAACTGACCGTCCTGTTAGCCACCCGCCAGATAAGTAAAAAGAATTTTCGCTTGTGTGGTGACCAGAACGCTACAACTATTACTACACACCTATACAGTACCACAACAAAACATAAATGCACACAGGCATTTTCGAAAATATCGCTGTTCGTCAACTAGGCGAGACAAATTCAACAGGTCATGTAAAACTCGGTCCAATTTAAAAAAATGTCCTCTTCGCCTCAGCATCTCGTCCATTTCTCCGCCTGTAGTGCACGCATAGTAGCGAAATAGGAGCATTTAATTAGCAGCAGCCGCTGCAAATCCACATGTCGTACATGCACAGAACTGGTTTGTGGTGGTTCTTGTCCGTGTTTGCGACTATTGCCTGGTGATACGGCCACAACAAAGCTCTATATCAATGCGACACAACTTTTTATTAGTGCTATTTGCTCACTGTCCCATCACATCTCTGCACCCACACCACAAGACTTACGTTCGGTGTGGTCAATGCAAAGAAGGCGAACGAAGCACCAGCATTTCCTCTTGGGGTCGGGAAGCTCTCTGAACTCTCTTTTGTCTAGTACACCAATTTTGTTTAAGTTTATATCCATGTTTAACCTTATCCTCGGAGTGAAACCTGTGCATTTTATACAAACTGGTAGGAAAATAAGACCTGCTCATTTGAAATTTGTATCGAATTAAAACCTACTATTGGTGTGTGTACATAATATCGAATTAATCCCTAAAGAGCTGTACCAATTTCCCAGATATTTCCTAGCCAGCCCGTTCTGAGAGGATGGCCAAGCGTTGGTGACCGCAGTCGCCGAGCTTGCCAAGTTTGAGACGACGCAAGCCAAGATCTTCAAGGAGTTGCGTACCATGAGTCGCTTCCTGCAGCGCAACCAGAGCCAGCGATTCAGCGACGGCGCTCAACAAAATCTCGTCGACTGCTTGGGGTCCCGCCAATAACATCATGACTTAACTTTCCCAAACTCTGCCGGCGGGTATAAGATACTTGGAGGTGGGGTGATGAATCTGGCAATGTCCACTTCTGTTTCCCACAAATATAGCCCTAACACCTTCGAGTCAATCATTGTTTTGGGAACTGAAAAAGATGGATAAAGTGAAGATTGGCACAGATATGGGTTTCTTGAGAAAATCTCATTTCAACAGTCTTGAGCTACCAGTACATCGTGAAAGTATCACCTCGAAAGCCTCATATGGCGTAAGCACAGCAACCCTTACAGTCATCCGTGCTGGTGGATGTAGCTAACGTATAAGTCATATATCAAGCGGCGGGCTGGGTAGTCGTCGACTTTCAGCTTATCCCATATATCTGCCGCAGACTTGCCACTGCCAAGCCAATGCCTAAACTGGGTAGCGGTTTTACCGAACATTAAGTCATCTATTTTCTGGGCACTCAATCTTTCTTCTTCGTCAGCAGTTTCTTCGATGTCGACATCTTCAGAAGACACCGCGGCTTTATGACTGCGCAGAAACCGTTTGCCTTCCTTGACGTTGTTTCCAGCATTTGTGGGGTATGCCTTATCGGGGAGCGTCGTCGCCGTGACTGACAGTTTTGTCGTCGTCTGTGCTGTGCAGTCGCCCGCAAGGAGAGAGGATACCGTCGCAGAGCATTGACGCCAATCGCATGATGTGGTGGCTTGACGTAGGTTTAGGGATTCGAAGGTGAAATGATGAATGAAAGCAGCAAGGGAACTCGTGTGGCACGAATGCGTCGACAGGTTTTGCTACCATGCCAGCCCTACAATCTAACTGCACGTGACATGCTGCCTCAACAAATCTCTAGCTTCTTAAGACTTTGGCAAAAAAAGAACTAACAACAAACGCTTTCTCCGTTTTAACTATTGGTACGTTATTTTTCCTGCAAAACCTAAAGCGGTATTTTTACAAGTTGTTGCAAAACGATCCAAGAAAGTTTCAGCCAAGAACTGATTTTTGTTACTCGATACATAGTAGTCCAGAAAAACGGAAGCGCTAGATTTCTAATGATAAGCGCTATGATCTACTCACGCGCCAACTTGATCCAAGACTGCCGCGCAACTACCCGAACAGAAGCTTGCAAAATTTCGTAAAATACGAGCCAGCAATCCAGCTCTTCCAGCTCTCCCACTTACGAATTCGAAATAGCCCTCGAGCTGTCATAGTCGTACATAGTCTGACCAATTACATTAGTTTCGCTGGAATAATCTCGAAATGCGTAAACGACCAAAAGCACAGGCTCTCGTTTATTTAAGGGCAGCTGCTTTATATACATGTATAACAATCGCATATCTCCTTCTTCTTAAACATCTATTGCAGTAATCTGTCTGTCCGTCAGAACTATGACGGCCCAGACAGATTACACTAAATTGTCGTGCCTGTCACGCTTTTCCGGA